GGCCTGCTGTGTTCATCCAGCTCGACACCTTGTTATTTCAAGTTGGGAGAATTGTATCCTTCTAAATAGTTCAAAAATTGATCTATGAGATGTGACCGGCAGGACCAATATTGATTTCCAATCTCTAATCGCCCTTAAGAAGTAGTAGTAAGCTACCTTCTTGAATCATTGAGGCCCAAGGTAAAGGTACACCCCCAATATTGTTAGGTTGAGAACTCCAGGATTTTGGCCAAGTGACATTGAAGGAATGGAAACATATTTCCAAGTCAGGATGGTGTGTCCAAAATGACAAATGTGCATCTACTCCTTGCAGGTCCCCAAAGTCCAGCTCTCTTTCCTATCCTCTTAGCAAACAATTATGGTCATGAAGGCCAGATTTATAAAAAGTAGAAACACAATATATTACATCTTCTACAGAGGCTTCCGAAATCATGAAAAGCATTGGAGAAGCAGTACAGCACCTGCATTCGGTGAACATTGCACATCGAGATGTGAAGGTAAGCTGCAGTTTATATTCTATTAAGTTCTAAGTGTGCGGGTAAAGAGCAGTCTGAGCAGCCACTTGAATATGGTGAGCCATCTATCTCTCAGCCGGCAAACCACAAACTTGACCGTTTCCTATTGCATTTGCGGAATCAGAAGCATATATCACCTGTATGTGTGTACTGACTGCTTGGATATTTAAAAAAAACTTGTTTTGTCATCTTATAGATGTGTATAGGATCTAGACTCATTTTAGCAAGGGCTTTGCATAAATGTGTTCTCCATTAAATCCAGAAAAATAGTTTGTTTAAAACTCTATCAATTGGACGTTTTTGCTTTTCTGTTCTTCTTTTCCCAGCTGCAACTTTAACATTCTGAACAGATAAATCCAGTGGCTTTGCCAGTCAACTAGTGTTCATCTTAGAAAGAAAGTTGGGTGGTTTCATGCTTTCACTGCTTAACTAATTTTGTAGTACTGAATAATATTGAAAACCCATTCGGATGAAGAAATCTTGTTCTTTTAGTTTCTGTGTCCAAGTTTTAGTACAGTACAAATTGTCCTTGTTTCTAAGTAAATTTGCAGGAAGTCAAAAATTGTGAAACATTTACTTCTATTCTTATCCATTTTCAGTATGAGTAATTCTTCAATGTCAATATTTGACTGCAATCTTAATGGTAATAAATGCATTAGTAATTAATATTACTTCAATTTAGGGAGTTCAGATGCCAATGTATTCCATCGTTTGGAGTAGACTGCCAACTTGATTGAATTGCTATAATTTGGTGAGCAGAGGAGCTCCCCAATAAATTGGATTTGTCAAGAAATGGAACATGTTCCTATTGGGGAAAACACATCCATTGCTGACATCCATTTGAGGTGTTAGCATTGTTATTGACTTGATATTGTGCAGTTCCTCTGGTATAGCAGCTATTAATTTTAATTTTAATTTGACTTTATGACATCCATCCTCTATCAAATAACTGAGGAGCAGTAAACTGTGAATGTATTGAATGGGATGGCCTACATTTAAAGAATGAAAGATCCCAGTAGCTAGGCAGTCTTTCATACTCCCTGACAGTGCTATCATTTGATTATGCAAAGACGCAGGGACGACAGCATTCATTTTGCAATAGGCTGATATGGAGACTAGCTGGTATAATGGAGAAACAGCTCACAAAGAGTTCTGGGATAGATGGAAGGCTGAATGGAGCTTTTGTATTTGTCACTTGGAGTTTCACGTTTAGGTCTTTTAGTTGACATGACTGAAACAAAATTCCTTTTAAGAGAAGGCTCCAGGTAGTGGAGTCAGTAAGACATGATATTCCAACTCTTGAAATCTTGAGTTTAATCCAATGATTTCCGTCTGACATGAAATCTGTTGCTATTAGGCACAGTGTATAGTACAAAACAAGGTTGGTATGAACTCAAAGGCCAAGGGATGACAGGTGTGGGAAATGAAACACTCTTATTCTGGACCATTTCTCTGGGGGTATAGAAGATGGTGCTTTTCTGTGCCCTGGCTATGCTGTACTTAGTCTGACAGAGTTTGATATCGACACTGAGCACTAGGTAGGAACAGCCCATTCTCCAGAACACTCACCTCTGTTGGAGTACCTTTATTTTTGAAAAAAAGTTTATATTTCTTCTTTAAGCTTCTGATTTCTGTAGTTAGGCAGTACAGAATTGTGACTTTTTCTTTCTAGGGCCATTAATATCAGATTGTTGGAAGTAAAATGTATCTTCTGTGGTTATCAACTCCTGTAGCTGCTCTGTTCTATTCTGTTCATGTTGGTGTGATTGTTTTTGAATGGTTTTGAAAGTCCTTGCCAAGTGTCTCTGGGTGGGGGCATATTTGAGAGCATTGCTAACTTTGCTCGGCATTCACCTTGCCATAAGTGAAAGTGTTTACTTTGCTAGTATTCAAGTACTGTCATTTTCATGTTATGCAATATTTATCTCTTCCAAGTTTATGAATAAACACTGTAGTTTATAGTATAAAATTCTTTGTATGTGAACTGTAACCAGCTTTATTAAATGTTCAGTTAAATGCAGTAACTCTTTTTTTTTGGAATTTGAAGATTAACAGGTTGATTATTTTTTGAAGTATGTCTTAATTTTTTTTTAATGTCAATAAGTGCTCTTGCATTTCTTCTGCAGCCAGAAAATTTGTTGTACACCACCAAAAGACCTAATGCTATTCTAAAACTAACAGATTTTGGCTTTGCCAAAGAAACCACCAGCTTCAATTCATTAGCAACCCCTTGCTACACACCATATTATGTTGGTAAGTTGCTATAACAAGCATAACCTTATGGCCATTTACAGTGAAACTCTTGCAACATAACCCCTGAGAATGGAGTTTCGGGAGTCTTGCTGCAGTTAGTCATTCAGTTCTCTCTCAATTGGGTCATAGAATCGTGATGTGGAAAATAATGTTTTTTACGAAAGTGCTAATGGGTTTGTACGAGTAACCAGAGAAGAATAACTGGACGAATAATCATGAAATTTGAGAAAATAAGATCGATCAGAGTGCACAATGATGAAGGCTAAAAGATACTGAGGAGAATGTTAGCAATCATTAATGACAATAATAAAGTAATTCCTATCATTGAAAAGTGATTGCTATAATTGAGGTGGGACAATTCTCAAAATATAAATGATTAATATCAATAAGTAATGCAGATATTTGTATTTTGCACTGATCTTTACAACAGAGAAGAGTTGACTCTTCAAATGGTTAAGAGCAAGGTAAGTATTGTTGTTACAAAGGGAAAAGGAAATTTTAGATAACTTAGAACAATGATGAAATTCCAGGGCATGACAGGATGCAAACAAGGATCTGAGGAAGATGAGGACAGATGATTGCAAAGGGCCTGTGAATCAAAAATTTAAAGTACCACTTCCCCAAAGCTGTCAGAATACATATGCAATAATAATAAGGCACTTTAGTTATTAAACTGCTAGTTTGCACTCAATGAAATTTTCAGCTGAGCAAACTAATACACAGTGATGGTAGACTTGGCGTCTGTGCATGAGTTGGATCCAATGCTCTGGGTAATTATACCTCCTTACCCTTTAAAGGAGGGAATGTCTTGAGCTGTTTTGAAACTTATCTGTGTCACAACTCATATTTTTCAATGAAATTGAGGATCTAAACTCCAACTGTGCCAATGCCCAATATCAGCATCTCCAATTAGGTTTGGGTAGTGCAAAAACTTTGCACATTTTACCCTTCAGCAAGAGGCTGACTGTAGACTAACACAAAGTTCAAATGTTCAGACATGCATATGTAAGAATTTGTGTGCTTAAAAATGATCAGTGTTCTAACATTTTTGTAAAAAGAAGTCTTTGCAAGGCACAACAAATGTTTGGCAAGTTGCTCATTAGAAAGGAACTGAGTGCTGTCCAGTTGAGAGGGATATCTGTCCTACCACACAAGTGCAAAGATAGGAAACCTTAGGCCTAAAATAGACATTAAATGCATGGAATAGGATTATACTGTAGAAAAAGGCCATTCAGTCCAATTAGCCTATGCTATGTATTCACCATATGAGGCTCCTCCAATGCCTCATTTCAGTCTTTCAGAGTATGTTCTATTCCCCTTTCTCAAGGTTTAGCATCCAAGCTACTTCCCTATGGTCTGAGATCCATATTCGATATACTCTTTGAGTGAAGATCTTTCTTCTCTCTTCCCAATTAGATTTATATTCATATCTTGCTTTATATTTCTGGTTCCTCATTTTGAATTTTCTGTCAAGTGGAAACAGTGGGCCAGTTTTCCTTCATCTCATGGGGGTCAAAATTTGCTCTGAAAATATAAATGCACTTTTCTCTGCCTTCCTAATCAGGCATTTTTATGGTACTTTTATGGTTAGAAAGGCATTGGATGTAAAACATACTCTCAGCTCTTCTGAGATCATAGTCCCCTTCATGAGGGCCACAGGAAAATTATATTTCCTCATGCACCACAATCTTCGTATGCTGGTGTGGGTTTTGCAAGCCCTTAAATTGCACACTTTGTTAGAGAGTTTGTGGCTCCTGATAAAACCCTGCTGAGGTGTCTAAAACTTTCTGATAACCAAGTGTGAAATGTTTTGACACTTCTAAATGTCACTGTTAGTTACTGCATTGTAATGCACATGTGCCTTTAATGCAGTGATTCATCAAAGTCTCTATCCTGAAAAGATAAATTGTCCTTTACATTAGCAGGCATTGTACTTTTGCCATTGGAGAAAATGCTACAATGCATTCAAAATGAGGGAAAGCATGTTGATACACTTTCCTATTCTATATTTGATGCTTGAATATAAATATTCAACCAGATTTATCTTAGGAACAAAATTGCCTTCTTCTGAAAGTTGAAAACAAAATCTAAATGCCTCATTCACTGATAGATAATCTGCTATGAAATTGGAAAAAAATGTTTCAATTTGAGACACTTTGCAGTGTAAAGCAGCTATCTTGATAGTTTTGATTATTACGAATGCTTGGTTGAGAACTAAATCTGGGTTCTGTTGAATTGCTACACATTCAAGAAGTATGGATAGGTGAGGTGGCACAACAGATGGGTTTGGAATGAGGTTTAGCAGGCCAGTAAATGATGCTCAAAGTTGAGCTGTTGTCTTCAAGAACTGAAATGGTCAATCTTACCCGCCTACCTCTACTTGCAGTCCTTCCATGCTGCTTCATGGTTGACAAAGTTGCACTATAAACCTGAACCTTGTGCAAGAAAACCAAAAGATCCTTGGCCAAAACAGTCATGAATTGGGTGTGTGATTGAAAAGCTGCAACTGTAACCAACTCGAAGCTTCCTTACTATACATGAAAGTCCAGGCCATTGTCTACACATTTACCATTTCTATTTCATTTAAAAATTTAAAGCCCTTCATTAGACTTCCTCTGAGTCTAGTGTCATTAATGATAAAAGGCCATGTCTGCTCAGTCCTTTCCAACCGCTGAGTTCTCAGTTCTTCTAAAGTCCTAATTATTGTTTATGCTTTTCCCAGTGCTTTTTAAAAATATTTATTGTCCTAAGATCAGAACTCCTTGCTTAAAAGGACGGAAACATGAGAAAAACATCTACTTATATAGAACTTCTCAGAAATATAGGATGTGCTGAAGCACTTTACAAAAGTGACCATTCATTGCTATATTTCCTACATTGCAGCCAATCAAACAAACGCCTACAAACAGAAATTGATAATGGGCAGATAATAACCTGTTTTTATGTTATTGTTTGTGGGTTAAATATTGGCCAGAACCCTGGGGCTGATTGACCTTCTCTAGTTTAAAATGTGCCGTGGGACTTTTCTGCCTGTGAGGACAGACAGCTTTCACTGAATGTCCCCTCCACAAAAAAAAAAGCAGCCTGATCAGGGTCTTATTTAAGTTTGACATCATTTTACTGCTTTACAGTCCTATATCTCGAGAAATAAATTCCTCCACTTCTAAAGTGTTCCATAAAACCTGAAGACCAATAAAAAAATTTGATTGACTTAATCTCTCAGACTTTTTGAGACACCCTCAAGCCTTAAGAAATGTCTTGAAACACCCAATATAATGTTGTAGAAGAGCTGTAACCATCAGACAATTAGTATTTTAATGTATCATATGTGAGTGTGTTGATATTGTTGTGTATTCTGTAGCCTCTGATAAGGCACATAATCGATAGTTTCCCTTTTACTGGAGGAATAACACAAATACACAATGTAGTAAATGGCTTGCTGTGTTGGAAAAGGACACCTTGGGGGGACAAAGAACTCATGACAATTCCATTGTATCTTCATATTTCATTTAGTATAATTTTCTCAGTCTTTTCCATTTTTCACTTAGTATAATTTTCTCAGTTTTTTTTAAAACAACACAATTTTAATTTTTCTTCCTGTCATGACCTATCTGCTCTATTATTTGATCCAAGGATTAAGATCATTTGGTCAATTAAAGTAACCTCAAGTGAGTCAAGAGCAAAGTTGGGAAAATGATACTTTGGTAGTTTCTCTTGACTGGTTTAGTATCACAGGGCATATTTTTGGAAATTATCTTGTTATGCAATTCCTACAAAAAATATTTGTCTGCGGGAAATTGGTTCTTTCAGCCTATCTAGCTTCAGAGAAATGAGGGTGGGTCAGTTATGGGTTTACTTGTATCAAAGTTTTAATAGCTTACACAGGCGAGGCAGCTACTCATTTAACTAACGACCTGCCTGTCTACTCAGCTGTCATCTGATTTTTAACTGAGGGATTTGCTAGGGAAGTTTGCAGTCAAATGTTTTAGTTTCGCCTTATTGTTGATCCTTGCCCACATTTTCAGTACCAACTGTTTAATTCTGAGGGAGAGATTAATCATTTTTTTCCCTTCTGTGATGGCGCATTGAGTCAGACAGGAAATTCTAAGGAAATTTGGTTCCCTTTAGACTTTGTGCTATCAGATCAGCTCCTTGCAGGATTCACTTGCTTCCCAGGTAGTTATGTATGAAATATCTGTGCCCCGTGTCACATTAATAATGTTGCCTTCAGTAAACTAAGTGTGCATTGAGGTTTATGATACTTTGGCCTGCAGCTTATGTAATAAACTAAACATTATAACTATGCCAGTGTTTGAGATTAGATTGAGTAGGTAGAATAAGGAAAAGTGATTAGAACGTCATGGGAACTGGGTGGGTAAAAGTGATTAAAACTGTTTGCTTCTGTGGGGAGTAAATGTGGCCATGAACTGGATTGAGCAAATGCCCTGTTTCTATAATGCAGTTTGTACATGTTGTGCTTCGCAATCTTCCATAGTTTGTGATGTTGTGACATCCAACAGTGACGTGTCAATAAATTTAACTGTTGTGTTTTTCTTCATTTTACAGCCCCTGAGGTTCTTGGGCCCGAGAAGTATGACAAATCCTGCGATATGTGGTCCTTGGGTGTAATAATGTACATACTGTAAGTTTTAGTTGTACAGTCTCTGTGCATGTTTTCTCTTTCTCTTCAGGTACTATGCCCTGAAAGGATTTTGGTAAGCATGCAATTCCGTGTTGGTCCATGGTTATGCTGGGCAAGGTACTGCAGTTGTTCACTATTGCCATTTGAGGATTGCTGACCAGCAGTCTGTCCAATTCTTACACCATGCAAATAGGCCTATGTTGGAAGCATTTGCAAATTGGAGTATGCACTAGTTAACAAAAATGTAAAGCTGTACCTGGATTTGGCAAGCGATGGGAAATTTCCCAGTGGAAAATACTTTGTACAAGCAGTAAATGACTGGAAGTTGCCCTGTATGGTATTATTACAAGCAATCATAGTATCCCTACAGTGCAGAAAAGGCCAATCAGCCCATCGATCATCCCACCCTATTCCTGTAACCCCATATTTGTCATGGCTAATCCACCTAGCCTACTTATTGCTATACACTATGGACAATTTAGCATGGCCAGTCCACCTAACCCGCACTTCTTTGGCCTGTGGGAGGAAACCAGAGCACCCAGAGGAAACCCATGCAAACTCAACACAGATAGCCACCCAAGGCTGGAATCGAAACTGGGTCTCTGGCTGTACTGAGCCACTGTGCCCTTTTATGAAAGATGATAAAATCTCCTCCTGTTGTCGGGCCACCAGCATTAAGGGAACAGCAATTTTAGCAATGGGTTTACTTGACTGCTGCCCTTGTTAAATCAGCAGTTTGCCCCAACAATAAAAACATGAAAGATAAAACAAAGAACTGCAAATGCCGGGGATCTGAAACAAAAGCAGAAATTGCTGGAGAAATTCAGCAGGTCTGGCAGCATCTATGGGAAGAAAGCAGAGTTAATATTAGAGTCTGGTGACTTTTCATCAGAAATTGTATTTGTGTAGTGTCTCTAATGTAATAAAACACCCATGATCTTATACAGGCGTATTATTACATAAGTGAATAAAAATTTTATTGAAGAAAATTTGACGTAAAGTCATATAATCAGAGGTTAGATCAAGTGACCAAAAACTTGGTGAAAGAGATTGTTTTCATCTTTTTCAATATTCCTTAAACCTACGTAGAGAGGATAGGTCAGAGTTTGCAGCCAAAACAACTGAAGATACAGCCACTACGGAGGTATAGAAGTATAGAGTCATACAGCATGGAAACAGACCCTTCGGTCCAACCAGTCCATGCCGACCATAATCCAAAACTAAACTGGTCCCACCTGCCTGCACTTGGCCCATATCCCTCCAAACCTTTCCTATTCATGTACTTACACAAATATCTTTTAAACATTGTAATTGTACCCACATCCACCACTTCCTCAGGAAGTTAATGATGGACCAATTAAAATCTGGCATGTGCAAGGATCTGAGTTAGTGCAATGAAGATATCTTGAGGGGGTTGTGTGGCTGAAGGAGATAGCAGAGAAACTGAGAGGTGAGGCCTTGGAGGAATTTGAAAATAAAGGTCAGTATTTTAAAATCATGACATTGTTTGTCTGGGAGCCATGGTGGGTCAGTGAACACAGCAGTGTTAGGAGAATGAGCTTGCTGCAAGTTAAAACACAGACAGCCAAGTTATGGATGCCCTCAAGTTTCAGGAGGGATTCCAGCTGCGACAGCATCAAAATAATTGTGTTGGGCAGTAGCAAAGTTTTCTACTGAAGGTGAACTGAGACAGGGACAAAATTGGCTGAAGTTATGCCAGAAGAAATGAACAGTCTTAGTGAAGGCACACATATGAGGTTGGAAGCTCATCTCTGGGACACGTGTGACTCCGAGGTTGTAAACAGACTGCCTGCATTTCAGACAGTTGCCAGGGAGAGGAGTAGAGTCAGTAGCTAGGGAATGGAATTCGGAGCTCATTCTCTTACCCTGTCTCGCCATCACATGAATACCTCACAGTTGGTGTCCACAAATGTTGCCCTTCCCTCCTCTCTATACAATGATCTCTTGTACCTCTCCACTGTTTGTCTTTGCCTCTTATCATGTCTTGTGCCTTCGGTTTCCTGCAGAGATCTGGGTTGGGGTCGGATCCAGTGATGGGCACCAGATGAGTCACAGGCTGTGTGTGTGAAGGAAGCTTTATTCCAGGAGGTTGCAGGTGTTAGCAGTGACCTCCTGTGAAACCCTGAGCCTCCTGATGTGGAGAGAGCTGATCCTATTTGTAGGTTCTGTACTGGGGCCCTTGACCCAACAATCCAACTGGATTTCTATGTCCATCTCCTCTCTCTGTGCAAGGGTATGTGGGTGAGGAGACAGCATAGCTGCTGCTGGATTTGTTAGCTGCATTGTGATTTCTGCTCTGAACCCCTCCTCAGAAGTGCAAGGTGGAGCTGAATAAGCTGTTTCTGAGCTATGTTGAAAGCTGGCTGTATGGAAATGCAGTTGAAGGAGAACAAGGTGGTGGATCGGTGAAGAACCTTCCAAGATCTTTGTCAATCACTTGTCTAGCCGTTGTGGTACTCTCAGAAGGAATGCCATGAGCAGTGGACTCTCACTGGGCCATGGCTGAAATTCTTCAATCTATCTGATTAAAGCCTCCTCAGCTCAGTTTTACTGAAGAAGGACTCCTGTTTGTGCTCTCAGCTGGTGACCCTATTATGTGTTTATAAAACCATCGTTCTGAAGAGTTTAATGTTTGTGTTACATTGGCTCCACTCATTCCACTGATGTCAAACGCAGTGTGTTGATGGAGACAAGACATTCTCCTCTTGCTTTCAGAGAGCACAGATGTATCTGTACCAGCTCTGTAAAGTGCCAAGAATTACACCTGACCAAAATGTAGTTGTACTTATTGCTATCATGCAATTAACCTTCTTGTTATCTAACCATGGTGCCTCTTCTGTACGTGCCTGACTGTAGTGTACCTTCTGTCACCAACTAGGTCCAAGACAAAGGCAGATTGTTGGTAATGAATAACCTCAAAAACCCTTACCCAGTACCACATTCTGGTGGAGTTGGCAAATATCACAAGGTGCCAATAGTGGTTAATGGGAAAAATACCACCACAATGAGTTACTGATTGGCCTGGAAATGGGTATCCTCGAGCGCTAAAGTGGTTCTTTAATTTTTCTTTAAACACCTTAATTATATATCTGACATATCTAAGGAGGTTCCCCATTCATCTTTAATCCTGTCTTGATGAGAGAATGCCAATTTCAGAAAATTTAATCCATACCCTCACCCAAACCTTTTGGCAGGTCAAGTTTGATGCAGTGTCTGTTTGCTGCAACTTTGGAATTCAGCAGGGAATTTCTTGCTTGATGTTAATTCTTGGATTATTGTCAAATGTCTTCACTGTGAAAGTCAGATATCTTCACTTTCACTTCTTTGTTGCACTCCGATCAGATGCCTCCGAATCACCGTCCTATCCTGTGTGTAGATGCTGCTCATTTGATTGTCAGTGGGAGCAGTTCTTTGGCATCAGTTGAGTTGTTTCTTGTGAGGAGGCAAAACTTCCAAAAAAATGCTTCAATTCCAGATCCCAGCTACACTTTTTTAGTTTGTGTTTTTGGCCACATAATCGCTTTTTCAGTAACTTTTTTTCATCCGAAAATTCCAGTGCTGGTAACTTTGATTCTGGAAAAGTTTTTCTGGTTTTGCTGAACTGCAGTTGACTTGATTTCATGAACCTCCCGTTGAAGAGTTCTATGTATTTATTCTGAAAATGTACTGATCTGTGTTTCAGATTTTCTACTTTGCACTTTTGTGTGACCGTACAGTTACAGCAGCAATGCTGAGTAATGCCATTCAATTAGCATTTTAATTGAGTTGAAGAATGTGCCATTAAAAGATGGTCAAAAATTAGTAAGAGCGTAAGATGTAGGAGCAGAAGCAGGCCATTCAACCCATCGAATTTGCTCTGCCATTCAATGAGATCGTGGCTGACATGATAATCTTCATCTCTACTTTCCTGTCTTTTCCCTATAACAATTGTGTCCATTGCTGATTGCAAATTTGTCTACCTTCACCTTGAATATACTTAATGACCCAGCCCCTAAAGCCTTCTGTGGTAAAGAATTTCACAGTTCACTATCCTCCGAGGAGAAATTCCTCATCTCTGTCTTAAACTCTGAGATGATGCCGTCAGATTCAAGACTGTCCTAAAAGGGGAAACAACCTCTCCACATCTACCCTGTCAAGACCCTTAAGAATCTTGTATGTTTCAATAAGGTCTCTTTCATTCTTCTAAACACCAATGAGTGTAGTCCCAACCTCCTCAATCTGTCCTCTTGGTATTTATAATCTCAGGAATTTGCAACTGGATTTGCATCACAAAACTATATTTTTAATCTTCTTTGTGTTAATATTCCATCTGGTTCAGGGTGCATTTTTTTCATCTGGCTGACTTATTTGAGGTTTATGATTTTGCACTTTAGGCTGATAAATTCACAGTTGTAATAGAACTTGACAGATAAGGTGCACAATAAAAATGGCAACCACACTGCTATACCATAGAAACTGGTTCACAGGTTCTCCTGCCTGTGTAGTCCTGAAGTAAATCATCCCTCTGTATTACTTCAGCATAACGCTGCTGGTTAGTCTTTCTTTCATGCAGCTAGGCTTGTGAAATTCTCACACTCGATTTATCTGACCGCTGAAGTGCAATCTGTTGTTTGTTTGCGTTGGTTGAAACAGAAAGCTGTTGAGAAGGTTTGCTATTTCAATGAAGTAGCAGCACCTTTGACATTTCCCTTCATCTGAACCAAAATATCAACACAATTTTATTTGATGTTTTGAAACTGTATTGTTTCTGTTTTTTTAATGGCGGCTGTAAAAAGGAAACTAACATGCACTCAAGCTTGATTTTGTCCTTTTCTCCTTCTGTGGTCCAATTATTGGGAATGTTTAGGAAAAGAACCTGCATTTATATTGCACCTTTTGAAATTTTACATGAACTTAGTTAGGTCCTTTCAAAGTCACTTTTTTATAATGTGGGAAGCACAGCAGTCAGAAAATGCACAGGAAGGCTCCTCGACCAGCAACATGATAATGACCATGTAAACTAGTTTATTGATATTAATTGAAAGAGAAATTTTGGCCAAGATAGAGTTCCCTTCCTGTTCTTTGAAATAGTGCTATGCGATCTTTTACATTTACCTAAGATGGCAGTTTAATATCTCACCTAAAAGGCAATAGATTTGATAGGCTGCACTATCATGTCAGTCTGGATCCTGTGTTTGGGTCTCAGGACTGTTCATAGAAATTTGACCCAAATTTATGCTGTAATCTTACGTAGTAAATGCATAGATTTGCGACAAATAATCCTTGCAGTAAGGTCATACAGGGGTTCTGTTATAACGCAAGTTCCGGCAATGCAAATTGGCTATAAAGCGATTGACGAATAGGGAAATGCTAATTCTAAAATATGAACTTGTTCTGGCTGTAACGCGATTCCATCAAGTACACATCGACATCATGGGCTTTGTCAAAGGAAAATTTCTTTTTTGATCCTTGGTGTAAGTATTCACAGTAAGTCATAATGAGCTCATTTGAAAAAGATAATTGGATTGCCTGTCATAAACCTCAAATACAATATCACACAGAACAACTGTCTCACTAGGAAAGCATGTGAAGTCTTAGTTTGAAGCGTTTACGCTGAACACATTAAATGCAAAAAAATGAAGTATAGTTTAAAATAATATGAGTGCTGTTAAAATGTGCACCCTTGTGTGTAGTATGCCCAGATTTTGTTACATATTTAATATGTAAGAACATTTGAACTTGCTCATTTAAATCATTTCTACCAGAAGTTGTCTATGTTACAACCTGCTCTTTTCCAGGATTGTTTTGAATATAATGTTACTCAGATTTATAACACATTTTAATCCTACAATTAACTTCAATGTCAATGGGCTACAAAGGAAAGAAAGGTCAGATTCCTCTGCTTAACTTATCTGAAAACCTGTCCAGAAGACTGTACCGATGGAATGTCAGGTCAGATCAGCAATAGGCTAGGCTGTGAGGCAGAACATGTTGCAGGTGAATAGATTTTTTTTTATTATAAGTCAAGGCTCACACAAGTGACAGGCATGGCACCAATACTTACAGGAGAGTGGTGAGGAAGAATTTTGACTGATTTTGCATGATTTTGTTTTTGTGGCCTGCCCCAACCCCGTTATTTCTATAGTGCGATTCTCTATAACGCGACGTTGCAACGGAACACAACTATCACATTATAGCAAAACCCCCTGTAGACGTTACTTGTGATTTGATGTAATTTACCATTGTTCTTGATCCTGACCAGCGAAGGATTTGTCAAATCTTGCAGTATTCCTGTCCTTCGTTGGAAAACGCAGATGGAAAATGTACTGCTTGAACTAAACACATTAGGGGTGGCTAGCACTGCTGCCTCACAGCACCAGGCACCCGGGCCGATCCCACCCTCGGGCGACTGTCTATGTGGAGTTTGCACATTCTCCCCGTGTCTGCGTAGGTTTCCTCTGGGTGCTCTGGTTTCCTTCCACAGTCCAAAGATGTGCAGGCTAGGTGGATTGGTCATGCTAAATTGCCTGTAGTGTTCAGGGGTGTGTAGATTAGGTGGGTTATAGGGAGATGGGTCGGTATGAACTTGTTGGGCCAAAGGGCCTGTTTCCACACTGTGGGGATTCTATGATCTATGATCCATGATCTAAAAAACCGTTGTATCAAAAGTGATCATATCCACAGCTATTGATTTTAAACTGTTTTAGATGTTTGAGTTGTTATCCAAAAATAATCTTAGTTCCGCTGTGTTCTAATCTGTTAAATGTAAGTTGATCAGATGCTGAACATATTTAAACAAACATTTCTTTTTCTTTTGTCAATCTATAGGTTGTGTGGATATCCCCCATTCTATTCTAACCATGGACTGGCCATTTCACCTGGCATGAAGAAACGAATCCGAATGGGCCAGTATGAATTCCCTAATCCAGAATGGTCAGAAGTATCCGAGGAAGGTAATCCAACTTTCTTTAACTGATGCAAAATAAATAAATGTAATGCTCCTTCATTTTTAACTTTGCAATGATCAATGCTAAATTCTACAAAAATATTTTGAAATTGTTATTTTTCAATGTGCGAAAACTAAATGAGTTGAGAACATTAAACCTGCTTAAAGGATAATCAAATTCAAACTCTGTGTGCCTGAAGAAATATCATAGTTTAAAAATAAATTCTGTACTTTGAAACATTTACAGCTTGCGATATCAGCAGTTTAATCAAAAAACATTGAATGCTGAAAGTCTGAAATGAACACACAAAATTCTGGAGAAACTCAACAGGTCTGGCAGTGTATGTAGAACTTCTAGCTCTGAAATAGTCATATCAAACTCAAAACGTTAACGCTGTTCCTCTGTCTACGGATGCTGCCCGACCCACTGAGTTTCTCCTGCATTCTGTGTTTGTACTGGCAGTCTACTGACTTGCCTATTGTGCATGATGAGACTAACTTAAAAAAAATGTAAAATATTCTCTTGTTTCTGTAAAATTATCTTTAAAAATCTTGCAGAATGAATTACAGTCAAAGTGTAGTCATTGGCATGTGGGTAATCTATTAAAGAAAACGTGAATTGTTCTTTGAATGTAGCATCTTCACATGTTTACTTTACTGTAGATTACATTACAGAAAAGACATAAGCTTAATGCATGGTAAAGATTGTATATTTATAATCCTATCTGCTGAAAATATAGTAATGGCAAGTCACTGTAAATGCTATATTTTTTCATAAAGTATTTTTAGAGGATTTTGCTTCAAGGCAGAGATCCCAATTCTATTTTTTCATATAATTGCAAGGAAACTACATTACTCTTAAAACATTATCACTATTAACTCTGAGGATTTATAGTTTTAAGACAATCACCTTTTCTTACTGTTATGGTAGGATTGTTAGCAATAACAAATTACCACCTAACTGCATTGTAAAAAGTTCTACTGTACTGTAAAATCATTTAACAATTTCATTGATTTTCAATGATTTCAAAATCATTGCATACCTACTAGCATTGCCATTGAGACTGAGCAAGGGAGTGAGACTGATAGTTTCCACAAAGAGCTGGCACAGAGTCATTGGGCCAAATAGCCTCCTCCTATGTTGTAAGATTCTTTGCTTTCAAATTGCTTCTCCCAATTTCAAGTTCACTTGTGTTTTGGCATGTTCAGTATGGGAGGGATGAGTACAGCTACACAGCCTGGCTCCCAACATATAGGCTAAAAGTGGGAGCATAGTACAATTGATCCTGAATTGGAAAGTTTAAAAAAAAAACCCACTAAACCTAAAAGCTTTAAAGACAGGAAGACCCTGGTAAAGTGCTGATATATGTTTTGGATCCTGTTCTATTGGAGGAATGCACCTTTATTGTAAACCCACTACACCACAGGTTTTGACATAAAATAATACATTTTCCAGTTACCAGGATGACCAGGGAAATACCTTCTCTCTATCAGGTATTAAAACAAAAAGATCCATTGATTTTCTAAAAAAAAAAATAAATACAATTATGCATTTATTATCAAAACGGTGGGAGACAGTGTGCTAGTGGAATTATCACTAGACTATTAATCCAGAGACCCAGGTGATGTTCTGGGAAATTGTGTTTGAATCTCACCATGACAGATGATGGAATTTGAATTCAATAAAAGTTCAGAATTAAAAGTCTAATGATCGATCTTTGGAAAAAACCCTTTGGATTCACTACTGTTGTTTAGAGAAGGAAAATGCCTTACTTATGTAGTCTGGCCAACATGTAACTCCAGACCCATAGCAATTTGGTTGCCTCTTAACAACTAGGGATGGGCGATAAATACTGGCTTAGCCAACAACACCCACATGCTGTGAATTAATTTAAAACAAAACTGATCTCTCTAAATATTGCCAAATTATACATGCAAAAAGCACATGTTCATCAGCAACAAAGGAAGAAAAAAATTGCAGAGATTAGCTTTTTTCCAAAAACACTCTGACCTCTGTGTTACTCTTCAAGGTGAAAGCATAAAGTGTCAAGTGTTCTGGAGTCTGCTGCTCTAATATTCTGACACATGGTCATCATTAATCATGCATGGTTCTTTCTAAAGTATTGTAGGCACACGTTCTCAGGAAATACAGTCTTGATGTTCTTTCAGTAATGCTTTTGAATGAACAAATTGGTTTCACCCTAAACTTGTGAAGTTTCTTTCTTTTCAGTAATGGGAGAAAATTAGCTGGGCAGCTTGTTCAAAGTCAGGAACAAAAACAGAAGTTGCTGGAAAAGCTCTGAGGAACGTTAACTCTGATTTTTCTTCACAGATGCTGCCAGGCCTGCTGAGCTTTTCTAGCAACTTCTGTTTTGTTCCTGATTTACAGCATCCACAGTTCTTTTGGTTTTTATTCAAAGTCAGTTCTCTGCAAGTCAGCTTGTTCCCTCCAACTCAGCTAATTAATTCCAGAACATTTCCACGCCAGTCACTATTCGGAACACCCCAGCAAAACTAGTAGTTATCACCAGTCGTGTAATTTACAGGCAGTGAACTTTTAACGACTTATTTTAAAGACACCAATCATGGCATGTCCACAAAATTTAAAATAAATTAACTTTCCACAATTTTTCAAGACATGAGTCCTGTGTGCAATATTAAATATAAAGCATCTTTGTAATACAGTCAAAGAATCTATATGTAACTAGATTTATGAGTAACCAGGCCAAGCATACTGGACTGAGTAGCGTAGAAATTCATTCGAATTTGGTCAAGATTCACACTCCAAGCAGTTTAACTCACCTTTTGATTTTTGACTCCAGTTGTGTTTATTTTTCCTTGCAGAAAAGTTTATTCAATGACATTGTAGATTACCCAGAAGCCAGTGAAATGTAGTGAAAAGCAGTTTCTTTTTTCTTGTGCTTTTACTGATCGTAATTTAATGAACTGCATTTGGTTTATATCCTCTGAATGTGTTTTCAATGTGCACCTTTTTCAGAAATGACATTAACACAATTATAATTAAACACATTACATCTGTTCATGTTGAATTTTTCAGCCAAACAACTGATCAGACAACTCCTGAAGACTGAGCCAACACAACGCATGACCATCATGGAATTTATGAACCATCCTTGGATTAATGTATGTAATTCATTTTGGAGTGGGACTTAAAGGCTTTAATTCATTCCCATTAAATAAATTATATCCTTTATCCTTACAGAATTTATGTTCTCCTCTTCCCCACTTTTTAACCACCAAATACATCCTCTCCCCACTTTTGATCACTTGATAGTCATGGTAAGATCCTAGCCAAATGTTTAACATTGTCTGAAGTTATTTCCTGTTATTTTAATAGGATTAAAGTTTTTAAGTTAGCAAGAAAGGAGTTTTTAATCAATGTATTAATAGTAAATTGCATTTTTCTATGATACAGATGTATCATGTTCCAACGAGTTTCAGAATTTAAGGGTGATATGGAGCTGTTTATTCTGCAATTTTCAGCCTAAGCAGTTTTCAAACTCTTCTTCGCCCACCCCCCTCAAATAACACCCTTGCCAACCAAAAGTTTTTAGTTCACAATGAAGAAGTTTACAATAAAACCTTTCAGGTGAACAGTGTTCTTCAGTGCAAATGCAAGTGCAAGTTACATTTTAATTGTCAGATGTTGCATCCTGCCTCATTACATTGAAGGAGAGCATAGTGGTTAAGTTTTCATCTGAAAACAACTAAAGTGAAACACTGAGAAAGTTTCTCCATAGCCAGCAGTTTCAGGCCATGTTCATTTTGTTTCTTGATTCAGTGTTTTGAGTTTGAACTATGTTTTTTTTTCTTTGTTGACTTTAGCAATCAATGCAGGTACCGCAGACACCTCTTCATACCAGTAGGGTCCTGAAAGAAGAGAAAGATTTATGGGAAGATGTAAAGGTAAAATTGGACTTTAGTTCACTCCTGTAATACATCAGAAAACACTCACTATGTCTAAGGCCAACTTGTGGAAGCATAGTATACTAACAATCGGATAATAGATCTGTTTCATGTTCTTGTGTTTCACTGCGTGTAGGGAATATCCGATGTTTTATTTTTTTTTCCTCCCATTTTTGAAGATCTTGGCAGTCATCAGCTGCTTAACATTGCCCACTACAGAATTTTATGTTTTGGTCTTCTGATTTCCCTTTAAGCTTTAACAAAACCAGAAACAAACTAAATATTGATGTGGGCATGTAACCTGACGCTGCCATACTTAGGTTATCCCTCGTAACATACAAAACGAGATGTGGATAAAGTGAAGAATCCAACAGATATCTGTAATTCAACTATCTTTTCTTGCATTCCATTTATAGGCACATCATGGTTTGGGCTATAAAGTTGAGCTATCATGTTACAAAGCGCATTTTCTTCCATTAGTGTGTCATGCTTCAACCATCAGGGATAAAATGAAGTATGTGATATTTATGTTCTCAGATCACATGCTATGATATAGTGATAACACAAGCATGTCTTTTTTTAAATTCATTCATGGGATGTGGGCATCACTGGCTAGGACAGCATTTATTGCCGATCCCTGTTAAGGACATACTGACATACTGTATCTATTAAAGGTATGCTGAAATACTCTTTGGGAGACAAACGCAACAAACATTGGAAAATGGAATATCTGTTGCCTTTTTAAAATACTGGGACCACTCATATTGTCGCTCAATTGACATTAACTCAGTAGAGGACAGCAATCAAGCCAAAGATTTTTCTGGTTTGGGTGTTTACAGCAAGAAACTAATATAATCACCTGTCTTATTTATTTTCCCTTTCCTAAGGCCCTGCTTTGAGATGCTTAATCCCTGGACTGTTTTTCAGTTGATACCTTGCTTGTTGCTTGGAACACTTGAGTGTTTGGAACATGAGGTCACCTGCCTGGTTTTCATTTTCCCTTCCTGTTGCAGATGTACCTGTCTTTCCTGAAGGCAATTGTAGACTCATTGCATAGAATTTGCACAAACAGACCCCGGTCTTGCTATGCTATAACACTCTCCCAAATTATGCCCACCGCACTCTGCCTGGAGTAGAGTAATTTTATGAAGTCATTTTTTTTCCTTAAATTCAGAGTATGGCATCTTGCAGCCAAAGTTGGGAACTGTTACGGTGCAAGCCTTTCCTTTCTGAATGAATATGGTTTTCCCAATTCAGGAATTAGTAATTGTAACAGATTTTAGAGATAAGAGCAACAGTTCAGCTTTGTTGTGCAATTAAGAACATTGAGCTAACCTAGAGAAAAAAGGCCCTGCATGCAAAATAGTTTGCCCCGTTCAGTAATTCATACAGATGATAACAGTATGGCTGTGAGCGGTGTTGGTGGAAATGATTGATAGTACCAGTATTCCATGCTGCTCATATCTCACCAACATCATTTGGGTGCAGTGCTGAAAAATGTACCTTTATAGACACAATGTTACCTACTACATTGTCATATTCTTAACTCCAGCCAAATATGAAATAGAAAAATATTTCTGTACTGGAAACATATTACAAGGAGACCAATTCAAATCGCATACTTCAGAGTTATTAAAAAGATTGCATGCATCAAATTCATTACTACTTATTTACCACTCTCCATCTTAACATAATGTTTAAAAGATTTACAAACATCTCGAAGAAATCCATTGATTTTGCCATCCGAGTACCACAGCTGTACTGTTTTTGAGGCTGACTACTATAGAGAATTAGTGTGTGATCAATGTATTTATTCCCAGTTCTTAGCTGGAATGAAAGGTCTTGTTGGAGCCCTAAGATGTTGCTTCACAAGTGTCTATTTGCAGCACGCCCATTCCTGGCCACAAATCTGAATTGTATTGATTTTGGAGTTGAGACTATGCACTCCCATCCTGGAAGGAAAGAACCAAAGAAATAAGGAGCAAGGAATAGACCGTTCCAAACCCACAAACTGTCTCCAAAAGTGAATAAGATTATTGCTGATCTAATGTAACAGTAAGTCCACTTTCCTGTCTAAAAAGCCTTGACTCCCTTTCCTATCAAAATTTATCTAACGCCTCCTAGAATATATCTCATGTCCATGCCTCCACCGCTTACTGGGAGAGAGAATTTCAACAGTCAATGATTCTGAGAGAAGAAGCAACCCTCATCTTGACCTTGTATACAACATTGTCTGTCCTGCCACCCGTACACCCCCAATCCTCCCAAAAGGAAAACATCTTCGCAAAATCTACCCTCTAAAGCCCCTTAGACTTGTTAATGTTGCAACAAGATTACATCTCAACCTTTAAACTCAAAAGAATAGTGGCACAAAGTACTCCACCCTTCCTCATAACCCAATGCTTTTTTTGATGATCGATTATTAAAGGCTGCTCTGGTGCTTCTCTCGAGCTCATTGGAGAACGTTCCGGAGAGGATTAGGAGCAAGAACTTGGTCAGATCCTTTCAACTGGGACAATTATGGACATGGTTCCTGTGAAAGGAGATAAGTAGAAACAGCACTATCACTTCCATTGTGCTGTTCATCATTCTAATACAGCTTTCTCTCATGACAGGAGGAAATGACCAGTGCCTTGGCAACCATGAGAGTTGACTACGAACAAATCAAAATCAAAAAGATAGAAGAATCTTGCAATCCCTTACTGATAAAAAGAAGAAAGAAGGCCTTAACTGCTCCGACTCCAGCCAGCCACTGAAAAACAACATGGAAAGTGTGCCAAATTATTTTTAGGAAGTTCTTTTTAAATGTCGCATGAAGTTCAGAAATGTTTAATCGGTTGGCTTTTTGGATTATTTTTAAAGATTTACTTTACTTCTGCCTCTTGGGCTGAGGTGAACACTCTGTCATGATACTACTAGTCCAACATGCGACCAGATTTTTAAACTGATGTCAAAGGATGGTGGGTGGGGGGGGGGGGCAGGGGGACGTGATGGCATCAGGAAAAGGTCACCTTGTGAGTTTTGTGAAAGGTTGACTCAATGTTTCAACTCGATATTCCTTTCTGATTTTTATCATTCTGTGTCACCCTTATTTCCAAGAAATTTCATTCATGCCATCTTTCAGTTTGTCTTATTTTGGAGCTCTATTTGATTACTTTAAAGCTGTCTTGGTTTCATGGGATTAAAATGTTGTGATTTTAAAAGATCAAGATATTCATTATATTTGAACTTTTTTAATGCTAAAAGCTGTATTATTAAAAGCTTGCATTAGTTTTTTTTCATGGATGTTTGAACAATCCGCAAAATCTGTGGAATTCCCCACGAACAGAACAGGTTTTACAGTATTCACAATTCAAATGTAGGCCTACCCTATAAATTTTATGAAAACTTCAGATGTGCCGATACGATGGGTCAAATGGCCTCCTTCTGTACTGTAAAATTCTATTATTCTATGCCTCTTTTTAGTTTTAGAGTTCAGTGGTTTGATCATATCTTGACTGAATTAGTACAATCAGTTATTTTAATCAGCCTACTTGGACATGTTATGACACACACCCAAGACATGTGGGACTTGAACCCAGACCTCCTGTGTCAGAGGTAGGACTACCACTGTGCCACAAGAGCCATGGTAGTAAGTTACAAAATGCATGTAATTCCACTACACCCATGCTCAGTTCCTAAATTGATAAATTGTCCTTTGCTTGCCAAAATGATCCTTCAAATTAATTGGGATACTGTTGCAGTTTGAGCTGTTAGTATGATTTTCATCTATGCCTGAGTGGGATCTTTCTCTTCCTGCTGCCTCCCAGCAGCTACCTAATTCTCATTATGTCTGCGCATTAGGCAATTAAAAAATGCAGCACTTTTTTTTTGAAGTTATGTAGATAAGCAACGTTATCACTGGCAGGCATAACTTAAAACTGGAGGTCTAATCTTTACAAGATCAAATCTTTACTCTACCTGCTATGATATTGAGTAATTTTTACTGATGAGTCCCTGCTTTTCCTCTGGGGTAAGTCATATTCTATGTTCTGGGGGTAACATGAGTCAAAGATACAGGCAAAAGCCTTCAGAACAGTTCCCTATTGCCAGTATTGGGATGATAAATTTACCCAGATGCATCATTGTGAAATTATTTAATTGGCTAAAATCTCTTGCATCTAGAATTTGAAGTAACTTTTTGCTCCACAGCGAATACCCAGTTAAAATTCCCAATCAGAGACAGCTGCAAGACATTCAAAAGCAAGTGAATGTCTAAGGTTTTTGGGTAGATTTGTAGCTCAGGTTATGGATGTTGTGGTTGGTTGGCTCGCTGAGCTGGTTCGTTGTTCCGCAGATGTTTCATTGCCCTGCTCGGTAACATCATCAGTGCAGCCTCCGATGAAGCGCTGTTGTGTTTTCCCACCTGTTATTTAAACTCTAGTGTCCATTGAGCTGGGTTACCTCACTTCCGGTTTTCCTTCGCAGTGGAGTGTATATGGTGTCCAGCTGTATGTGTCTGTTGATGGCCGTCTTAGTGGAGAACTAGGCCTCTAGCAATTCCCATGCTTGCCTCTGCTTAGCCTGTCCCAGGATAAGGAAAACCACCAGTTTGATTGGGACAACACCAGGATCCTGGGACAGGCCAAGCAGAGACAAGCACAGGAATTCCTAGAAGCCTGGTTCTCCACAAAGAAAGCCATCAACAAACACTAGAGCTAGAGCCTATATATACTCCATTGCAAAGGAAAACCGGAAGGGAGGTAATCCAGCTCCACAGACACCAGAGTTTAAATACCAGGTGGGAAAACACAACGGCGCTTCATTGGAGGCTGCACTGATGATGTTACCCAGCAGGGTAATGAAACATCTGTGGAACAACGAACCAGCTTGGCGAGCCAACCAACCACAAGAAAGTGAATGCACAATTCTTTTCAAAAAATGCTAAATCCTGATGGAGTTGATTCACGGAATGGAACCCAAAGGTGTTTGTCCATCTGTTCATATTTCTAATGAATATTTGTTTAAGTCATTTATATTTTGGCAGAGTTGGCCTTTCTGGTGGAATACAGCTTCAACCCTTTGAAGTCAATTGTACAGATTTGTTGGCAAATTGTTCTATAGTAAATTGTCTCTTTATTTCTAAAATACATTGTGCTTTTCAGTCTTTGTGAGAAACATATTTGTTTGCATGGGCAGAGTCAAGAGTTGAATTTTCTGCAGCATTGTCTCTGTCTTCTTAGGCCAATATTGTGACAAGATTTTGCTCATGTATCCTTTCATGGGGTAGGGTAATAGTTTGAAAATGCTGCTCTGAAGAATTGTTTAAATGAGGAATAATATTTTGTAATTTCCTTAATGCAAAAGGCAAGTACGTTATGACGATTTCTACCACAATACTTTAGAAACACTGTCCAATTTTGATAAAATGATGCACTTCTAATGTTGCTTTTGTTTTTGAAGTTGCTAGTTAAAGAAGTCCACTTGACTTATCCAATTCTGGATAACACATTTGGCCAAGTGAAGAGCTGCGGAAATTCTAGTTTGGCTGTTCTGGCGTCATTAAAGCACAATGACATCAAAGGAAAGCACCATGGCAACATATTTCATGTTCATCCAATCTGCTGCTGTGTTAACAAGTCATGTGGTACCTTCAGATCAATTGGAGTATGGTTCATTTTTGACCACTTATTTGAACCTTTGGAAAATTTGCTCAATGGAAGCAACCACTAGCCCCCAAAGGAAGCGTTACTCCATCATCCTTTCTCCTCTGACATTTCAAATTAGGTTAATAAAGATTATTGTAAATATTTCTACTTACAATAAATACATTTTTTAAACAAAGAATGTGGGTAGACACAATTTCATGAACCTCTTGGCTGGATTTCATTATTGAAAAGTGAAAGGAGGTTGAACATTGTGGTTCACTGTCTTAGGAATGCCATTTGTTGCACTTATCCCTAATTGCCACACCATTCTGAAAGAGTAAAGTGGTGAATGGTAACTATCGAGATGTGCATTCATAAATTTGCTCATTTTTTCTAAAAAAAAAAGCTGGAACCTCTTAAAACTCAGGTTTTAGTGCTTTTTTGTCAAGAAAAAGGACTGTGTCAACCAGCCCTAAGAGTAAAGCTCAAATAGCGAGCTTTACATTTGGCATAGGCTGAACTGATTGACTGACATGCATGGCCTCAGCTTATCACAGCTTACATCCATATTTAAGCCACATTTGGCAGTTTTTTGAAACAACTTAAAACTATGCAAAAAGTATTTTCCATGGCAGGGCTCTTATTTTTAGTTCAGGCTACCTATGTATTCACTTATAGCCTATCAAGTTCATTTTTGCTTCTAAAGCAAATTAGCCACCTCCATGTGGGAGATCTGGAACTGATGCCTGGTATTGCAGGAGCCTTATTACTATTAAGTATGTTATACCTATTGAATTTCTGTATGTTTCCACATTTAGTGTGGATTTTGTTGGAGAACAGTTCACATCTTTTATAATAAAGGAACAAAAGCAGCCATTATTAGATATTAAATGAACCCAAGAACTAGAAATCCATATTTCTGAAGTAATAGCTAGGGAACTAGAACTATGGAAAGGAATAAAAGAATTGAGAGAGTTGCAGTTTTTGTGGAAATTCAAATTTATGGAGTAAAACTATAAGACTTAACTTTTTGAAGCTTTGAAAGTATAGCCATTTGTTGTTAACTGAACACTTCACTCACCACAAAATATATTGACATATCAGAAACCTATCGCATGCAAACCTAATGGCTTGCAGACAAAACATCAGATTCCAATCTCCATGGGAATGAATTGGTATTGAGGAATTATTTCTGCCGTCTGCAGCTATAAGCATATGTTGTCTGTTTTCAATGTGCATCCCTGGACTAGTGGCTGAAAAGCCATGGACAAGATGGTCATTCACAAATATCGCTGGTGCAGCTGGTATGAACTAACAGCAAATGATAGGGAAGGAAATTTTAAGGGGAGCTGTCCAATTATGTTCTGCTACAGACATAAATTTAGTTTTATCCTGGTGATTGCATACCAAAGATTTGCTAATTGCTTAAAATATTCTTTTAAACTTTGTTGTTTGCCAAGTTAGAAACAACAATAGCACCAGGTTACTGTGTCTTCCAAGACATTCCTTCAGATCTAATCTTCAACTCTGGTCTTCCTATTGAATTTGAATCCTGAGCACTAAATTTGATAAATAGAAACTTAACTAAAATAATTAGTAATTTCGGAAAAGGCAGCGCAGGTTTTTTGTGGGGAGAAAATAATTTCAAGCTCTCCAAAACCTTGAGAGAAGATTCAGTACCCTCTCTAAAATCTAATCTTCCTTACTCCTATGCCGGATGGAAATGCACTGTGCAAATTGAGAGGATAACACCAAAATCACAGCGTGTGTCAGAAATTATGGTGTGCAATTGGTGCATAAATGTAAATGTTGTATGGATGCAAAGATGAAGCAAAAATAGATAGAAAGTACTTTTGGGACTTTATACCAAGCAGTTTACTGCACTGTAGAGCTGGTAAGACTACAGGGTCATCAAGCACTGTGAGAATAGTCAAGGTAAATCCAATTCAAAGAAGCTGTGAATCAGGGTCATTTAATGAGCCAAGACTCAGAGGAAGCCTCGTTAGAATTTGAATTTGTCAGAAAACACCATGTTGCGGAAATATATTTCTAAAGTGTTCTGAATGAGTTATTGACACAAAAAATAACTAACTCCATTTTTTGATAAAATTAAAATGGCAATTATTTTTGACCACACGCAGTCCTGCTGAAAGCTGCGCAAGGCAATTTCACTCTGTCAGGTTCCTGAAGCACTGTGTAACTATGCACCCAGCATACGGCACTCTAAATGTGAGGAGCAACAAAGTTTAAATGTCAGGGCATGTTTAGGAGCTTGTTCACCAACTATGTGGAAGACTTGTTAAATCCACACATTGTATGTGAAACAAACCTCAAACAACACTAGACGACTGGAACAACTGAACAGTGGTTCAGATGTTTTAAAAAAAAAAAAAATTTTTGAATATTTCTGGGAAATGACTCCCATGTTACAAGTCCATTTATCATTTATGACTCAACAATTCCTTGCTCTTTAGCCAATTTCCCAATTCCCCTTACTTTGTGGGAGCCCCTGCAGCCCATCCAAAGTGGGCTGCCCCCTGACATTGCAGCCTCATTGGCCTGGGGAGCTGGCAGATTTCGGGGATCATCTTTTGCAATGCCCAAATTAACTCATCTTGCGATTTCAAGTGAGCCTGAGCTAGTGGAGTTAGTACAATATTCATGTAGTTTCCATTTTGGCACTGCAATATCAGCTCCATGTTCTGGTTACTAAGTCTGCGATGGTTGGGGGTGGAAGGAATGCAACCATGTCACCTTCTCTGCACTTGCTCATGTGTGGATCTCTTACAGATAGAAATTGCTCCTGTAAAATACTTGTGTTAAGTGAAAATGACTGTTCCAATCACTGACTGTGTTAAATATATCAGTATCAAATGTGATCACTTTCTGAGCCAATATTTTGTGCATTTTTCCCTCATACTTGCTTTCTTTAATTTTCCTCACATACGTGCACAAGCCCTGATCCATATAATAGTTTAGTTTTATAAACAGAGCTTGTATATAGCATGAAAATGCCATGTAGGCTACACACAAAAAAAACTTTGGAAAGCACAGAGGTTTTGCTTGGGAAGACCTACATTCACTGAGTCTAGGACCTGCTCGACTGTCACGAGCTGGACCATATAGGTCCCTGATAGGGACCTGCAGCCATGCTTTACACTAAATTCATTCACTTTTATTATATTGTCTCCACATTACACTTTCAGATTGTCACGCAGTTTCCGGCTTTGCCAGAAAGTCAAACCAGGATTATGGCAAACGTGAACTTCTGTGAGAAAAGTGTAGAATCTTTCCACCAAAATGTCTACAGCCCCCATTTTAAAGCTGACCCACAGTATGTAGATGGGCTTGGTTTGTCTCCAACCCCCACTCACACCTCCTTTGGCTGGGATTTCAGCTGGGTACATGTCCTCATCCCTCCTTGCTCCTACTCTGGGTTCGCTTGCTTAAAATTGGGGCTCCCCCCCGCCAACCATGTTGGTCTGACGGTGGTCCTGATCAGTGTTTGTTTCTCCTAAACTGTCATTTTCAAATCTGACAAGTCAGGTTTCCATTTTTTTTAGGCATGCTGTATATTGACCTCTGCTCATTTCATACAACAAATCCTGAGTTTTTATTGCATTGTCCCGTTTTATTCTTTCAATGTAAAATGTGTGTGAGGTATTTTTCACTACATCTATCAAATCACGTGGAGGGAGTGGGGATAATTTTTCCTTTATTTTGTTTACTGTTTTAGACAGATTTGGCATGTCATGTGTTTCATTGAGTGATTGTACCTCATTGTATTCAAAAACACCACCTTTGGTAATTAAAAGTTTATATTTATTCAACGCTGGTGACTTTTTTTGTGTTCTCTTGCCTGTCTCTATTTCAATTGCAATGTTTGAATTAATGAGCAGATATGCAGTGTGTTCATTCACTTTGAGTAAAATCCCAAATCTTGGTTTATTAGAGTAATACTCATGGGTTCTTCTGTGGAACACATGCTGAATTTGTATTCTAAACAATGACTTCAGAGTTGCTTATTTGTTCCTAGGATGTGGACATCTTCAGCTAGGTCAGCATTTATTGCCCATCCCTAATTGCCCTTTAGAAGGTAATAGTAAGATGCCTCCTTGAACTGCTTTAATCCTTGAGTAATAATGCGTTATAGCATCAGACAGCACCTTCCTGCCACAGTAAGCAATGTTATCGGCTAGGATTTAAAATAAAAACACACATTATATCAGACAACAAGCCCCTAAACAATTGCAAACCTGGTGGCTTTCTTTTCAGCCACTTTGTCATTGATAGCTGTAATGAAATAATTAGTGGCAAAATGGGCTCATTGGCTTCTAAAGGCAGTGACACACATTGGTTATCAAATGGGTGGACTGGTGGCTGTGGGGGATAGGTCTGTGACAACAAGTTATTGAATTAAGTTTGTTAAGAATGTGAATCTGTGATGGCAAGACTCAATGGCTCCAACCTTTTAGCCTGGTATATCTGCTGTGCTACTTCTAATCCTCCTCTTCATCAAAGCAGAGAAGTTTCAATGGTCCAGATTGCACACTCCAAGTCATTGGATAAAAGCACATTAGTTTTTTTTATGAAGTAAAATATTTTAAACACCAAGTACTTTAACTCTTCTGAAGATAGAGGCAAACATTACAATAAGTTTTGGGAAAAAGTGCTGTTTGAAGACAAATAAAATTGCTAAACTTGCATCTGATTGCTGTGTTTCTTGGCTGCAGGACATTGCTGCCCTGCCACAAACTGTCCCTGACAGAATTTGGTATTTCCAGAAACTTCATAGCTTTCTGCTTTCAATTGTTCTACTTGCCGCAATTTCTTTTAATTCAAATCTCTGCCATGTTAACAAAGCTAATGAACCAAAGTATTTGGAGAAAAATTGAAAATAAACTAAGAATATTAATGTTCATTAGACAAATTGGAAAGATCTCCTTGACAGAATTTCTTTATTTATTACTTCTATTTCCATCCCACGGGATAGATGGAGGCTTGCATCCACCTCAGGTTGATGGGTTCTGAAATGGATGATATGTCCAATGTGTGATCTGCCATGTGTGTGGCAGGTGGAATGCTTGATGGGTTAGTTAGATGAGTAATTTGGAGACTTTTGCACTCAGCCTGGTCCCTCAACTTTGCCTCTGCATGTTCCTGTCGAAGGCTCTTCATGTACTAACTGCCTTAAAAAAAAACTCCAAATTTTGGTTGGTCATAAGCCAGGGACCTCTGTGATGCAGCGGGACAGATTTGATTGCTTCAGGAATGTTTTGAGGATCTCCTTAAAGTATTCCTACTCTCTTCCTTGAAGCCTTCTGCCATAATCAGGTTCTGAGCACATCCATTGCTTTGGGTGTGTGTATCGGGCTCCATGTACTTTTTATAATAGTCCCAACCCCATTACTTTCCAGTATTGCCTAATTAATAGAATCATGGAAAGGCTGCAGCACCAAAGAAGACCACTTTGGTCTGTTGGGCACACGGCTGTCTGCGCGAAGGAACTCACCTAGTCCTATTCTTCCACCTTTTTCCCCTTGGCAGTTTCTTCTCTCCATATGATTGCTTTTAGACAGCCTCAATTGAAATCTGATCAGTAAGGCATCCTCAGTGGAATAATTAGAATCCCTTTCTCAACTTCTCAAGATTTCCAATTCCAGCTGAATACACTTCTAATGTTTTTGCCATGTGACTCCCTGCCTCAAGTCACCTTGCTTCTGCCATTAGTTTTCCAATACATCACATCACTCTTATGCGCTGTCCACCCACTGCAATGGCAGAGGTCCCAGATCAATAGTTTTTGATCGTTAAACATTCTTCATGTTAAAATCATTGCCAATATTTTTATAATAAGAAGCATTTGAAGAAACCGAGAAGAGAACATGATTCTTAATGCCCTGCAATTTCTTCAGGATTTCTTGTAGCAGCCTTCTGGGATTAATTCCTAGAAACTCAGCGTACTAGCTATCCTACAGTCTTGTATCACTATTTGCAGAATCAAACTGCACAAAAGTGAATGTTCTAACTAGGATATGGAATAAGGGTTACATTCAATCCCCAGTCATTCAATTTGTAACAATACATATTTCAATCAACCTCTTACGATACACATCTGGAGCAGGTGGACTAGACCTCCTGGCCCAGAAATAGGGACACTATTGCTACACCACAACAGCCTGTAAGTTATGTAGTCATAGCAGGATTTGGAGCCATGTTCCCAGAAAATTAGCAAGAAGCTCCAGATTACAACTCCAGTGACATTGACGCTTCACCATTATTCCCCCTAAGTCAGCCTGTTTAGATGCACCTCTAGGCCAGGTTGGACTTGAACCCAGACCTTCTGGGCCAAATCTGTTTTTTCATATTCATCCATGGGATGTAGCCTTTGTTGGCTAGGCCAACATTTATTGCCCATCCCTAGTTGCCCTTGAGAAGGTGGTGGTGAGCTGTTTTCTTGAGCCACTGCAGTTCATGTGTTGTAGGTAGACTCAATGTATCAAGGAGGGAATTCCAGGATTTAGACCCATTGACACTGATAGAAACAATTGTGATTCCAAGTCTGGATGTGATTGGCTTGGAGGGGAACTTACAGGTGGTGATGTTACAATGTATTTGCTGCCTTCAAGATGGTAGCCTTGGTCTATTTATGCAGTTCATCTTGTAGATGGTGCACACTTGCTGCTGTGCATTGGTGATGGACGGAGTGGAGGATATGGTATCAATCAAGTGGGCTGCTTTGTCCTGGATGGAGTTGAGCTTCTAGAGAGTTGCTGGAGCTGCACCCATCCAGGCAAGTAAGGAATATTCCATTACAGTCCGGATTTGTGCTTTGTAGATAGTTGACAGGTTTTGAGGAGTCAGGAAGGGAGTTGCACTTTGCAGTTAGTCACTTGTGGCAACATGTTGGCTAACAAGCACAAATATTCAGGTTTACAATTTAACATCATGACAACTGACTCATCGAAAGATATAGTTTTCTCATGGTCCAAATTAAAACTCTACTCTCACTCAATGGAAACAAAACTGTTAAGACAGATGTTTCAGTTTCTAACAACTTAAAGGATACCACAGGTAGGAAATTGCACTCTACCCAGTTAAAGAAAATGCAACGTGTGCAACCTTTCCCGCCCTGGAGAAGTGGGTTTGCAAGTGGAGGCAGGAAAGGGGTTAAGAAAGTCAGATGGTCTCACATCTGGATGGGTCCTCAATACATCCCATCTCTGGGTGAGTTGCCCAAAGTTAGCTGCCACCAGATTTGGTGACCTGATTCATGGTGTAGGCAGCCCACTGAACTAACTAAGACCCTAATTCAATCTGACTGGCCTTTCATACCTAGAAGCTACTTAAAGGCACCTGCCTGGTGGTAGACAGGGAGTACTCCTGATGCTCCTCTCAGTTCCCTGATGGAGGATGAAAAGACAACAACTGCAGCCCTGATACATCCCATTGAGAAGACCCCTGTCCTCGCCACATTGATGGCCCTAACAGCTGTGGGCCTTCCTGCGGAGAGCCAGTTGTTTATGGGAATGAACATCCTAACTTCCTGGTATTCTATTTTGAGGTGTACAAGATCAGTCAGATCAGTACGTATCATTCACAAAATTTACTATCTTTCCTTTAATATTCTTTATATTGAAGTTTGCTGCAAGCACCTTCATATTGAAATGCCACCATGCTGACCCCTCAGCCTCGGCAGTGCACAGCTTTTCCCAGTGGGTCAGATGACCATCCAGTACTGTGGTTCCTGGGATTGCTCCTCCAGCATTGCTTTTAATAACCTTCTTTTAATTGCACAGCAAAGGTGGATTCAACCTCTTCGATGTCCACCTCTGGAAAGAATTCACTATGGTGCGTGTGTCAGGTAGCAGCAGAATAAGGACCTTCAGAAATACTCTCAATGTTGGGTTCTTGAGGCTCATGGAAATGTAACTGGGGTGAACAAGAGGGTGATGACCAGACAAAAGACTGAACAAAGATTACAGCACAAACTTGGAACGCAATCTAAAGCCACGACACAACAGTGAGAGACTGGTGTTGACTGAAAGCAAGTAATTAAAAGCAAGCAGAGATTGAAGAAAAATGTAACTATAAAGAGATTTGTTGATGTAAGGAGCATGAATGTGATCAGTTTCAAAAACTATCATTTCCAGTCACATCCCATGGGATAAAATGGCGTTCTAATTCTTGACAACTTGAAAATTATCTTTAATGATCATTTGATCACTTCGGCTATGGTATGCAGTATTGTTGATTTGTGTACATACAGTTTATTTAAAAACCTGGTTGAAAAACTAATAAAACTTTGCGCAGAATTGCACCAAAATTGGAATTATTTTTAAAAACTCAGAACCTTATGAATTGGGGGTGCAAAGTTTAAAAGCAAACTCTTGTGTTAATCCAGCACAGAATCATTGTTTGAGCCAGAATGAGAATATTGGAACGTGTACTCCATCAAACCTCATTTGTTCAATGGACAATATGAGTATGATGCTCCAAAATTATGAAATACTTAATAACCCTATCTCTACACTCCATCCTTGGTGCTTGCAACCTACACTTAATCTTTGCCAGCACTCTGACAATATTTCTGCCCTCTTTCCCTCATTTAATATCAGCCTGCTGAAAAATTCTCTCAACCATACTGACAACTGCCTTGATACTACTGGCATTTTAAATCTCAATGCCTTAAACAATTAATTGTAACGTTTATTACGAAATAAACTTAGACAGGTTGAGCCAGTAAAATGGAAGTACACTATTTAATGGTTGTAATACAAACTGATATTTTTCTCTTTCAAAAATATTGATCAAGGTAGTGGGGGTGATT